TTTGATTTAAATAATGTGTAACCCAACAGAACAGTCAAGTAAACAGTCACTAACATTAAGCAAGTCTAGCACATTGCCCAGAACTCTCTAAAGTATTGGATACATAAACTGGATTTGAATGCGGGGTCAATTAATGAACTCACTCTCTAGTGGGGTCTCTCTCTGTAGTCCCGCTTTTCGTGGCTCTTTCATTGACATACGAATTTGTAGGTCCTCCCCTAGTGGTTCTGTGATGTTTGGCTCAAGAGTCTGGCCTGGCTGGTCTTTTAAAAGCACCCCATGCTGTCGAAACCACTCCTGCATGTGAGAGGCCCAATGCTTTGAGTCTGCTGCTCTGCCGACAGGCGAAGTCAGGTCGGGCGGCAGCCAAGCCTACGGATACAAGACACCTTCCAAAACATGACAGCAAACGTCTGCCTTCATCGCTACCTCAGTCGTGTAGCGTGGTCCCACTTTTTTCCAAGGCAACCTTGTCAAGCCTTCCGCCGAAGTTCCACAATTGGCAGCTAATTACTTTGGATTCCCAAAACGTTCCCTTTCTCGTCCCGTACATTACTGTACTCCCTGCATGTCATGCAATCAGTAATATGTTTTTGTCATTCCAGATGACCTTAGAAACCTGTGTCAACCTTCTTTTCAGACTTAGTCAATCACATTCTACTCCCACCCACTTCACAGCGAGCGCTCTTCTTAGACTTTGAGAACTAAGGAATACGTAGTATAGACTTAGATTCTAGAAAGATGTTATGTATCCGTGGACATGGCTGCCACACGACCTGGCTTTGTCTGTCAGCAGAGCAGCGACTCAAAGCATCGAGCCTCTCACATGCAGGAGTGGTTTCGACAGCATGGGGTGCTTTTAAAAGACCAGCCAGCAACCACCTGACCAAACACCTACGAACCACAAGGAGGACCTCACATCTAGATCCAATAAGATCTCAGTTGAACAGAGACAGAAAAATAACCGGGACTACATCAGAGAGACGCCCATGAAGACAGTTCAAATTAGTTGACCCGCATTCAAATCCAGTTTATGTATCCAATACTTTAGAGAGTTCTGGGCAATGTGCTAGACTTGCTTAATGTTAGCGACTGTTTACTTGACTGTTCTGTTGGGTTATACATTATTTAAATCAAATAAACGGATCAAGTGATCTTTCACCTGCCTTCATTAATTTCGAAAAAATCTAAAATTTTCTAAACCCAAATTTGAGCTGAAGGTTGAAATTTTCTGTGTGGATCATAAAACACGTAGTTAATAATTGTTGCAAATCGGAACCTTGCAGGCCCATTCCACAATTGGCGCTTAGCTCGTAAGGCAATGTAGCTGATTCTGGACTAAGAGAGAAGACCAATTTCGGGATTACAAGCGCGTAGTAAGAACTGAAGGGACATATGTATAACTCAGTGGCTCGACCGTTCACCTTTGAAGGCAAATCCCGAGGATTTCTGAACAAAATGAAGCCCTTGCGCTATAAATATAGAGCGATGCGCAAGCGCAGAACATTGATCTACTTGGCACCACGACTTTACGCCCGATGATGCATCTTGACTCCGCCCACCGCCGTAGATCCCGCCCACTATTAGATGGTGCTTTGCTTGGTTGCTACTGGAGAGAGTTTCGCTGTCGGCGGTTTTTCCCATTCATCGTTACTGGCCTCACACTTCGCATCTTCGCTCACATTCAAGCGCAATAACACACCAATCCTATCCCGAACATTGCCTCTAAAAAGCGTTGATGTCTGGGTCTTGCTCGTTCCTATTATCTCTCATTTTCAAGGAAATTCTCTCATCTGAGCTCTCAGTGCTTCTTATTTATTTGTTTATTTATTATGTAGACTGTATCACACGCTCTGGATGAAAAAAAAGACGTGCAAGCCAAGAAACTTCTTACGATTAGGCCCTCGCTCAGAGTCCACTTCATGTGCAAAAAAAAGACTCATTGCAAGCTTCTTGAAGGGCTTTTTCCCCTTCTTTCTCCACTATCGGCCAACTTCGCTCACTTTGTTTTTGTCCTCCATGGCACACCTGAGCAAACGTGCCTACAGAGCTGCTCCCTTGACAGGGTTGGCTTTCGGGGTTCTCAAAAAATGAACTTAGTTTTATTTTAGTTGCATCCTGGGAAGTGGTCTCAAGCGTATCTCTACTAGCGGGCTGCTCTATAAACGGGCTCCTAGAATCGCTATTCAGAAACCAAATCAGGAAGCCGGGCTGGTCTGCTGTGAAAGGAAACCGCTGTGATAGGCTTCTTTAGATAACATTACCTACGTTCGCAGAGGTAGGTGAACGAAGCCGTCATGTTTTTTGCCATCTGAAATGCGTATATGACAGCTTTGGAACAACATCAATTAAAAAATATTCGATTCAGTTCAGCCTTTGATTTCAATTCATTCTCATAGATGGTGCGTTCCGCTCTCACCTGCATGAGCCCGTAAATACTTGGCTGCATTGTCCACATGTGGCTGAGCATAATTGACTTATATCTCATCATCTCCTCTACACGTGGATCTATGGGCGTTTTGATGATTTTCTTTGTCAGCTTTACTCCAGTCTTAGCCCCTTCCTCAAGCGTCCATAATCGGCATGAGAACAGTCTGCAACAAAGGAACTGAACCTGTAGTATTTAGAGCTTTCCAAAAATGATTATTAGCTCAGTATCAGTTGCGCCTTGAGGAAGGCGGTAGTGAACCATACTACGCTCGAGTTTGTAGAGCTCTGGAGCCATCAAGATCAGGAAGCTACCCCAACATGCCTTCCCTCTTCCCAAGGAGGGATGAAGGGGCTTTGTTAAGGTTTCTTTGGCGGTTTTAGCTTTCCGTTTTTTCTTTCTTAGTCAACTGTGGTGCCTTCCCATTATTGATTATCCCACCAACTTGAAACTGAGTCGTTGTTCTGAGCCCTTACTCCTCCTTACTTCAGCACTAACACTTGATTAGCGGCGCTGCTTGGATTCTATGGTCTTCCCCATGGTAGCGGGTGAAAAGAGTTTTCTCGCATCCTATAGCTTTTGCAAGTGAATGGCAAACAGGGACGGGAAAGACTCTACGGTACAAAGAGAGCCGGTCAAAGGTGAGCTGCAATCTTTCTGGTAGAAAGCTCTGACTCACCACATCATGTCCAGCTTCCGTGAGTGTATCTGCTATAGCTCCCATGAAATTTGTGTGGGAATAGCCGAATAAAGGAGAGTAGACGAGGAATTTGTAGGCATCACTGGAGTATAAAGAAAGTAGCAGCAAAACAACCCAGCAGCGGTTCATACCTGAAAAATAAGTGGTTGAAAAGCGGTGGACTGACCTTGTAAATTCAGACTCGGAAGTAAAATCATGAGAAACTCTTGAAAGTATGAACAAGGTAAGCTCCAGGTGGGACGTCGACCCGGGCTTTAGTTTTTTTTTCAATTTGGTGAAGTCAGTGACTGGGATAAGTGCGACAGTGCCTGCCAAGAGGGTCCTCCAATAAAATAATAATTAGGCGAAAAAGTACAGAAAGAATGTGGAAAAAAAGAAGGGAAAGGTGTGTTTGGAGACATTTAGCACCTCGTCGATGGTCACAGAAAACAGTAGGGAAGGTTTGCGCTCGCCCATACCACAAACTTTTATGTACCGGATGATTGCTCAGGCAGAACGAGGAATAGTTAGTTGTCAATGTGGTCTTAGGGACCAGGCATTCGGCCCCAGTTAAAGCGAACCCACACCGGCAGCGTTCACTTGATATGGGCACCGAGCAATAGGGTCACTGGTTCTCCTGATAAGAAGTGCTCAGGTCTAAAGCTCCGATATGAGACCCATGATGGTCCACAAAAACGGCTGATATGATATCAAAAAAGGATACTGAGCCTACTCTTATACAGTTGTAAGGTAGGTGAAATCATAGACGGAAGGTAGACGAAAAGCGAAGTGACTTGTCGCGGTCAATGCAAACCAGTTGCACTCCAAAGTAAGGGATATACCTTAGGTTCAGGGAAAGTTCTCTTATAATCTGGGGCTACAAGAAAAACTGATGATGCGGGAAGAATTGATGGAGGAAATGTTCTGGAGAATCATCTCTGCTAGTAGGCTGTGAGGACTACTGCGCTGTTCGGCACCCGTTGAGTTCGAGGGTTCGAATTGTTCTGTTCTCTTCCAGATCGAACAAATATACACCGTGAAAGTAATGGGCAGTCAAAAAATGCTCTCACACTTCTCGAGGCGGAAGGTCGCAGCAACAGAAGATGTTCTCTCCACCAATGGCCAGAATTTCTTGGAACTGTTCCCAGTCCATAGAAGGAAAGTTTAGAAATCGTTGATAAGGGACCAGAAATAGCGCGAGACAAAGAACCACCACATGATGGACTCGGACTCTTATCACTGTTTACCTAGTTCACGGTGACGTTAATCTTCTTCAACAACATTTAGTAATCAATTTGTACGTCGAAAGACCAATTCTATAGGAGGAGATAGGTTAGGCGGTGGAGGGTGGGTGTAAGTGTCAGGGCTTGTAATCAAAAAAGATCTTTTGCGCTTTTTGCCTAAGCTGTGCCCGCCTGTGAAGCAGTGATATTTCTTATCACCGCGCTAATGCTAAAAGTACTGCTCACACCATTTAGTTATGCACAAAGCACAAATAGCGGCAGGGGGGGGGGTCGTAGGATCGAACTTAACGCTGTTCACCGGAACACGCACCTTTTCAAAAACTGGAACCAGGTAGGATTAATACTTTTAATGAAGCATCACCAAATTCTTAAGGAAGGGGGAGGGTCTCATTAGGTCACTGCGCGACGACAGGCGCAATCGCGGATTAATTCGCGCGGCAGCTTTGTGTGGTGATTGGATCGAGCGACACCTTCTTCCACTTCCTTTTGCGCTCTCTCAGACGCGTGCTATTCCGTCTGTATGAAGTAATCCTGTCTTC